AGAAAAGAAAAGAAAACTATATCAGAAAGGGAGGGTGGAAAGAGGCCTAGATGATGGTAAAGTATGTGTATTCTAATTTAAGAGGTAACATTTTGACATTCATGAACTGTGATAAGCTATGAATACATATTTTAATTCTTAGATCAACACTAGAAAAAAATACAGAGAGATAGATGCAAAAACACTAAATAAATCAAAATGGTATACTTAAATGTTCAAAAAGCATGAATGAGAACAGGAAAAGAGATAAGGGATATGATACATATAAATAAATACAAAAATAAGATGAGTAACAAAAAATAAACAAATAACAAAGTGGCAGATTTACATCCTAATGATACCAAATATAAACATTTTATACACCCAAAGTAAAAACAAAGTAATTAAATACATTTATCAAAATTAAGAATTTGCATATATTTTGGCAGAATAATTCAGTATGTAGAAATTCTACAAAAAAATCCATACAAGTGGACAAAAAATACACATATTTATTGCTTTCTAGCATTGTTTCTATTGGTAAACTGGTCATAACCTAAATGTTTATCAATATGAAGTTAGCAAAAAAAATGGTAGTAATTATACATTCATGTGATGGAGTACCAGGTAGATAAATACATATTAGCACTAATGGTGTTCACAGATGAGGAAGAAATAGTTTACATAACAATAAATACTATGTGAGCCTATTGCTACAAATTATACATACATAGTAGATTAGCATACATCTATAGAAAGAGAAGGAAGTTTAGGAGGCTATGCGTATGCATTTACTGTGATTTCTGAAAGGTACCAAATTACAAGGAACTTTCCTTACCCACCTTGAACATTTTAATAGTGCTTCAATTTGCTGTACTAAAAGCAAGTATATTATTATTAATAATGAAATAAGAATAAAGCATTTTCATTTTGGAAGAAAGCAATTGAAGAACAAAATAATTTGTAATGATTTATACATTGCAAACATTGTTCCTCAAATTTAAGAAACAAAAATGTTAATGAATGAGAGAGATTGTTTAAAATGCAGGGTTGCAGGTTCCATCCTGGAAGCTCTGACTCAAGAGGTCTGGGATGGGAATGGGAGGTAGTTATTTAAGAAGTGCCATAGGTGGTATTGATGCTGTTTTTTTGTTTTCGTTTATGTTTTTCACCTCACAGTTTAAAAACTCTAAATTCTACAATAACATTGTGTTTAAAAAGTACAAGTCATTCAAAAATAAAAGCTAATACATTTTTATATAATTATATTGATGGCAACTGGGGAAAATTATATGTCCCCATGTGTGCATTTTCTGTTTATCAGAGATAAATAAAACATAGAGACAACTCAGAGAAAGGTTCGCAACAGCAATCCATAGTTCAAGGGGAGAGCAATGGCTGAATTGCTTTTTCCAGGGATCCAAGGAATACAGAAATTAGAAAGCAGCTGGAGGGGTGCTAAGGGTCCCAGTATCAGTATTATTATTGCCAGGTGAAAGAAGAGAGAAAGCTGCTCTGTGTTCCATACTCTTACTGTTAGTGTTCTTAATACCACTCAATACATTTTTATCTGGCTGATGTCAAAGAACTTTTATGTGATTTACTTAGACCCCAAAGTAGAAATAGTGGGAATACTCATGGGGAAAATGATAGGCTGGTGTAAAAATTGAAATTTTAAATGTCATGTAGAGAGACTTGAGAGATTGGTTTGTGTCACAAAAATCATCAAGGTATATGCTTCCAGGGACAACAGGGAAGGGGGAGACTATTTCCATAAGGCAGAGAAGTCAGTCCATCTCCAAGTGGAAAAGGGTCAGAAAGCATCAGGAAATTGAAGAAGAAAACAGGGAGGATGGTGCACCAGATGTGGAAGGGTCGGAAATGTGCGAAGGGCAGAAGATGGGTCTGCAGTGGACACACTGAACAAGCAGTGAAAGAAACAAGGCACATGTCATGAGCATGCTTCCCAGATTCTGCAGGGAAAGCAAAGACAGACGTACAAATACCGAACTGGAATTGAAAGAGAAAAAAAAAATAATTAAATTGTTTGGCTCTGAAAAGGAACAAGGAAATGAAAAACTACATTTTTATCTTATTGGAAATAATTTCCTCTAATTCTTTACTAACACTAATATGAATTTAGCTCTACCAACTGGAAATAGGTTAAAAAGAGGTATGAACAGAAATGTTTGCCCCCTCCCCCAGCCCAGAAAGAATAGATGTCTACCATCCAAAAACCACCAACCACCTATATCATTGCTTACTAAAGTAATTGCTATGGAACCAGTTGAATCTCATTGTCCCCCAGTTTAACCACATCACCCACAAGCTAATCTTTAAATGAGATTAATGAGAAATTGGAGGAAGTCATCAGATTTGAGGTCCAGTCTTTGACTGTCACACTCCTTCTACTTTTCCCTAAATGACAAACTTACCTAAAGAGACAAGTTTAGTGACTTTCAGACTGGTATTTCCAAAGTAGACTGTTGTTTTGTTTTGTTTTCAATTTCTGAATAAATTATATTTGGGCTTTTGAGAAGTTAGTGCAGTAAGGAGAATTTAATCACATTTTATTTGCAAAATAAAACATAGTGTTGATAAATGTTTATCTCTACCAAAGGAAATTTTAAAAGAAAGAGCTATGTCAGGAAGTAGAGATAGCAAGAAATAGAAAGAGAGAGAGAGAGAGAGAATGAATAAGAGAAACAAACAGGGTTGGTAAATGCATAATAGTTTTGAACTCCCTGCCACTTTAAGTTTAAGCCAATGTGGTAGAAAGGGGAACAAGAACCAAGGCCTTTGACCTCTTCAGTCTTCATTTGTTTATCTTCTTTCTATAATCCTTCAATGCAATCCATTGGTTTTCTCATTTCTTTTATTTCAAAAAACATTATTTTTTCCTCACTTATTTTTTTATTTTTTTCTTTTTCTTATCTCTCTCACTTCTGTGAATGAGAAAGTCACAGAGAGTGAGAGGCAGAAAGACAGAAAGAGGAAGGGAGATAATCACCACCAACATGGTCTTTCCACAATCCACCTCCAGCCTCAGGCTGAACTTGAATGATGGGTATGTGCATGCCCAGATCCTCAGGGAGGCCACCAGATGTGAACCCAGAACCTTCACATATGGGTTAACCTCACAGAGCACCATGATTTACTGCTGCAGTACCTGCCAGTTCTTCTACTTTCTCAATACCACTCACTTCTTTGCACACATGTAAAACTCTAAAGTATAGTCTGCCAGATTTGCCTTTGGATTGGTAAATAAAGAAAATGAAGGAATTGAAGAACTTATTTTCTCTCCTAACAAAGTTTTGAGGTCTGTTGTCCTGTGAATATTTAAAAATCAAAAATTCTGGGTCAGGGTGTGGTGGTTAAGGTACTGAACACCCACATGACCGATGGCTGCTAGAGTCCTGGACCTAGTAGCTTGTTTTTTCACTTTCACTTTCTCTCTCTCTCTGCTGGGCACTCATGCCCTGTGGCAACTAGAAGAAGAAGAAGAAGAAGAAGAAGAAGAAGAAGAAGAAGAAGAAGAAGAAGAAGAAGAAGAAGAAGAAGAAGAAGAAGAAGAAGAAGAAGAAGAATAGGAGATAAGATATATAAATACAAAATTCTGGGCCAGCAGGTGGCTTGGAGATTAAAGCACTGGATCCCACATGATTGGCTGTGTGGTTTAAGTCTCAGACCTAGTAGTTTAAGAATCATGCCAGCATGTGGGCATGCATGCCCAGAATCTTGAGAGGAGACTGGAGGAGAAGGGATTGCAGTGTGGCCATTATCCCCAGGGAGTGATTTCTCACTTTCCTTCTCTTTCTCTCTCTCTCTTTAGTGAGGCATGTGCACTATAGTAAAAATACTAAAAATAATAAAATTAAATTAAAATTAAAAATTCTATTTCAGACATAAATGGCTGTATTATTTTCATAACCTTCCAATTATAATGATGATACTAATATGTAGTTATTGGCCTTACAATATTTCTCATCCCAGAAATTAGATGGTTCAGGTTTATTAAGAAAAAAGACGTTTTATGAATATACAAAGGAAGTATTAATTTTTTAGACTTTCTTTACCCCTTCAAATATTTAAGAATAATATTATTTCTCAGTGACAAGGACCAGCAAAAACCCAAAGGTTTTTAATACAGTCTAGCATTGCTAAATGTGGTGCTAGGATTTTGCATTTTCTGTACATAGTTCCTACTATCTCATTTGCTTCCTTTTAGGCTGAGGTAAAATGTTTTTCTGTGTTGAGGTAAGAAATGTTAACATGGAAAGAAATCTCAGGTTTAGGATAAAAGATTGGTGGGATCAGGCCCTTAGCTGCACCAATGGCCAGGAGAGAACTGGACCATGCTTCCATCCTCCCTACTCCCTGTAACCTAGATACCATATCACAGAGAAAAGAGGAGGGGAGGAAGTCTTGTGTGTCTATCCGCCTAGGTGAATCATCTCATCCTGAGGATATGGGGCGGGGTGCAGCTATAGCATCACACAGAGCGGCCACACCTCAGTGTTCCAGGCAACATCAGTTTAAAAGCAGATGCACTACTGATGGCATGGTGGATGAGGCACTGGACTCCTATCTGGCTGATCATGGTTTGAATCCCAATGGATTGAAACTCACACTGTGTGTGTGTGCATGCATATGCACACAGCCCAAAATCCCGAGAGAAGAAGGGAGAAGAGGGGATTGTGGCATGGTCATTCCCCCTGTGAGGTGGTTTCTCACTTTCTCTTTCTCTCTGTCTCTCTGTATGTCTCCAGTGAGCATGCATGCCATATAGCAGAAATCTCTCTCTAAAAAATAAAAAAGCAGGTGGACTAGTATCATGGGAGGAGCAACTGTTTGTCTTACTAATCGCCAATTCCATATGCAGGACAGTTTCCCCCAGTAGCTACACAACTATGTTTGTACACATGCACTGTCTTGTAGTAGCCTAGGTTACAGCATGTAAGAGACATGGCATTGCAATATGAAAGATACATACACTGTAATGCACGTGAAATTGAACTTACCATCCAGTAAAGTTTTACCACATACTTCCCATAGCTATTAAACAAAGGCATATGACCCTTCACAGCCTTGCATAGTGAGTATATGTGCTCCCAAGGTTTCCATGGAAGAAGAGGAGGCTCCCCTGTGTTCCCTTTAAAATAATTACTCAAAATCCCTCCATTGAATATCTTCCACACTGCATAGATTTCACTGATAATCCATCTCATCAGCTAATAACAAGAAGAAATTAGTGTTAATTGGTTATTTTTCAGTTTTATGTATTATAATTTAGGGAAAAAATACAGCAAAAATTCTACTTCCAGTAGTCACATTAAATTCCTCAAAGTAATATTAAATTCTATAGGTAATCTGCTCCACATTTTTATTTATAACCTATGGAATAAAAACATAGGGATTACCTTTGTTTGGAGAAAATACAGTCACAGACAAACTAAATTGTCTAATATTAAACATACTTTCAGCTAAGAAAGCTATCTGCTAGATTCAATTATGAGTTGCTTAGATTAGATTATGAGTGATTTGATATTGACCTCCATTTGACATTGACCTTTATATTAGCTCTGTGTACGTGTGTGTGTGTGTGTGTGTGTGTGTGTTTGAAAGAGAGAGTCCAATAGTTCTTCTGTGAGCACTAATGAGGTTTTCAAATGAAAGACCTACTCTTCTGTAAATGTTAAGAAGTTTGAGAAGGAAATTATCTCCCTTATGTCAATGAGACCAATTAAAGAAGGAATGAGATGTGAAACAATTAAAATTGCATAGATATGCAAATGCAGTAGAAATCCCCATTTCATGTGTTGATCTGTACATGCTGAAATGCTCCATATAAAACTCCCACTTGCATGTGTTTTGGACAGCAATGAACCTCAATGAAAGGTGAGCTTCAGAGTAGAAAGAGAGACAGGACTCAGGCCTTCCTCCAGACCTATCATAGTCTCTGCTCTCGGGCAAGTCACTTCAGTCTCTCTAAATTGCAGTCTCTCATCTGGAGAGTATAGAAAATAGTGTCTGTTTTTCAGCCTTTTATGAGGAATAGAAAAATGTGTAAAATTTCTTGGGTTACATAATGTGAGAACCCAGCTGTCATGCCCATGGACAGAACAAGCACCAATTTCCTATCATGTTTTGGCTAAAGTTAATTAAAAAGTTGCACTTTTCTTTTCTCACTCATGCATAGACTCTAAAATTGTCCAACTCGTAGAATCAGAGGTAGCTGTAGGGGTCTGGTGGGAAGGGTTACAAGGAGATACTGGTCAAGAAGTACAAAATTTCAGTTATGCAAGATGAGTTCTGGAAATCTAAAGTACAACGAGGTGACTATAGTTAACAATATTGTATTGATACTTGAAATTTGCTGAGGTTAGATCCTAAATGTTCTCACCATACACACAAAATAATGACCGTGTGAGATGATGTGTTAATCAGCTCGAGTTTGGTGACTAGTTCAGATTATAAGAGGAGTTTTCAAAATACTCATGAAAAATTCACATTATAAAGAAATTATGCAAGAATTTCAAATTTTTTTTACCCTAAAATAAACTCATACTTTAATTCCATTTTTCTATAAACCTTTTGAAGTCTACCACAAATATATGTATCAAATTGTCAAGATATATGTCTTGAACACCTAGGTGACAATTTATATATGAGATCATTTTTAAACATTTATTTATTTATTTATTTATTAATCTATTTGTTATGATTTTTCAAGTCGCCAGGTCTGGGTCTCAAACCATGGTTGGCCAAGCAGGAATCCAGCTCCCTAACCACCATGCCACTTGCTGACCCCCATTAAATAATTTTTAATTGTCAGCTGTAGTTCAATACAGTTGGGATAAAAGGACCAAGTTATTTCCAAAGTAAAAGGTGAGCGAAGGAGGGCAGCACTTGGTGGTCTGGGAGTTAAACAGGTCTGGAAGATTCTTTACAATGAGACTTGAGTTCATATACTTGAGTTCTACATACCTCACTGCAGAGTAAATGTTCATTTGCAGAAAACAAGTCAAACATAATTTCATTTTTCACAACTACTGGCGTCTGAAAAATAAAAATGAAAAGATATTACTCCATAAGGAAAATAAAGGAAATGCAGTTTAATGAAATAGTTTCATGTACTACAAACAGATTCAACCTGATTTCATTTTTCACAGGTAGAGGAATGAAAAATAATAAAAAACAAGTACATTATTCCTTAAAATAATCTTTAGACGTGCCATTGACATTAATTCAATATAATACTGATAAAATACTGTATTTTAGATACAAATAAAATATCATATACTACATATACAGAAAAATTTGATATTCATACACATGCAAAAGGCGATTATAAAAATGACTTGAATTTGGGGACCAGCAGGTGGCCTTGGCCTTTAAGGCACTGAAGCCCCCATGGCTTACTCTACAGTTCGAGATCTGGGCCTGATCGCTTGAAAAACATGCTGGGCATGTGTGCATATGTGCCTACAATCACAAGAGGAAAACGGTAGAAGTGACTGCGGGATGGTCATCCTCCCTGGGGAATGATTTCTCATTTTTCTCCTCTCTGTCTTTCTCTGGTAAGCACATGTGCCCTAGGGCAAAAACCTGAAAAAAGGAAAAAAAAATTTGAATTTTAAATTAATCAATCAAGTTAAATCTGAATCTTAATTAACATCTGGTAGCTGGAAAAATATCTTCATCTTGGATGAAAAATACTGTGGCAACTTCTAAAAATCTTATCCAACTTTAAATTTTGTTACATTTAAAATTAATTTAATAGTCATGAGGGGACTTCATAAAAGTTCATGGAAAAACAAAAATATGAATTTATTTTGATGCAAAAAATTTTGAAATCTATGCAGAGTTTTTTAATAATATTCACTTTGCATAAACTTGCTATTGAATACTCTAAGTACTTAAAAGCATGGTTCATGTATATTTGATTTATTTTATTTAACATATGTTACAACTAGGTAACAAATATTGTGATGGGCAGACATGTACTTTTCAATTTTCTCATTTTTGTAAATCCTTTAGAATGTAGGTTTATCCAACTTTTTTGACTAGTAACAGTAATTGGAAAATATGATGGATGAATATATACTTTATATATATTTAATATAAAATATTACATAGAGTATGTAATATGTATGTATCAAACATATCTATGAGAATATAGCCAGGGTGTCACAAGTTTTCATGTAAATGTGTTATTTAAAATAACGGTATCTCAGGTAATGGCTCTGTCAATATGATGCAAGTGGTTGGGCACAGAGACCAGAAATATAAGCAGTCTTTGAAAACTGCTTCTCAAATCTGTAGAACAATATATCCAAGGGTGAACTTTTTTGGCTAGAAAAAGAATGATAATGAATATATCTCCATACCATGTAAGTTCATGCTAGGCAGAAAGAAGATAGTTTATCAGTCAGAAAATAAGGAATAACTGCACATAGCATTTTAGGCCACAGTATCACATTTTTACTAAATACCACAAGAAAAAATAACCCTGAATCACTTTTAAAATACAAAATTTTATCATTAGGAAGTTATATCCTAATAGTTAAAAAGTGTTTTGTTTAATAGAAAGAAATGCTTCTTACCCGGCTAACAACATCCTGTGGACGTTTCCAGGAATAAATTTTCAATGATGGTGGTAATTCAATTTTTCCTTCAGGGTCTTCAAAAAAGTGCTATATAAAAATTAAATAGAGTGCTTTTCTCCATATGGTTTTTAAATATAAAAATCAACTTAATCCTAATAAAAATAAATACGTACACTTATTTGATCAATCAATAAGCATTTATAGAGTAATTTACATGTTTGTCCACACAAGTAGTTCATGGAGTATCTAGAAAATACTGAATTTAACAACTTTGTATACAATTCACCAATTGTTTAGTAGGATTCTCATCATAGAGAAAATAGTTCAAACAAGCATGGGCTTCTTTGGAGTGTAATTTAGGTATGATGGGAAAATTATTTTGGATGGGCAAGATATGGCCATATTTCCCACTGGAAAAAAAAATCATAAATGAGTAGGAATATTGAAAAATATTTACCTAATTTTTAACTTTTATAATCACAAACTATATTACATGTAACTAAAATTTGGATCTATGACTTTCATTTATTAACTTTTAAATAAAAAATATTATTCTTTTGAGATTATGAGTTTCATATACAGTTAGTATATATGAATAAAATAAAGAGTTCCTATATTACCTTTACCTTCAAGCAATATCTCTAATAGTAACATATTGCAAAACCAGAGAACCATATAATAATAATCAGTATATTGATATTTATGTAGTGAAGATAAGGCATCTGGCATTCACTAATCTATTCTCTATATCTAGAATTTTGTCATTTTAATAATGCTATAAAGATGAAATCACACAGCATGAAGTTTTTTAGACTAACTATTTTCTGTCCGTTTTATTCCCTGGGGATTCATTGGCATTGTTGCATTATCAGTTGTTTGTTCTTATTATTGCTGAGTAATATTTCATGATATAAATATTTGTTTGTTTACAGAACTTCTGGGTTGTTTCCAGATGTGTGCTTTACTGATATTTGTGTATAGTCTACAGGTTTTTGTGTGCACTAAAGTTTCCATTTCTCTAGAACAAATGTATAAGAATGTAATAGATTTTTTTTGTTTTGAACACTTAATATGTGTCAATTAGTGAGTTTTGGAGAAAGAATAATATTCAAATGTCTACTCGCAAAGTTAGTAATCTTGTAAGTGAGAGATACTTCAAAAAGCTACTATGTAGGAGTTATCGAGGACCAGCAAATGGCCTAGTGGTTAACGTGACTAGATTCCCACATGGCCAACCATAATTTGAGTTCTGGACCCAGTGGCTTGAAAATCATTCTAGATATGTATGCCATCCCCCTTGGAGGGTGATTTCCCATTTTCTCTTTCTCTGTTTCTCTCCTCTTTGGATAGTTCATGTACCCTATGACAAAAACTTAAAAAAAAAAAAAGTAATCAAAACACACAGGTACTGGGGAAAAAAAGATCCTTGTAAGAAATAGCATGGTGACCAGCAGATGGTGTAATGGTTACATCACTGGATTTCCATGTACTCAACCACAGTTCGAGGCCCAAGCCCAGTAGCTTAAACTCATGCTGGGCACATGTGTGTCCATGCCCAAGATCCTAAAAGAAGAATGGAGGAGAAGGGATTATGGTGTGGACATTCCCCTTGGGGGGTGATTTCTTGCTTTCTGTCTCTCTGTCTCTTCAGGAAGCACACATACCCTATAACCAAAATCTATTAAATAAAAAAAAAGAAGAAAGAAAAGAAATAGCATGAAAAATAGAAATAATTGCTTGGGGGAGTACAAAAAATGCTTAGGGGAGAAATCTACTAAATTTCACCTGAGGTAAACAAGAACAAATAGATACTATTTAGTGGTTTTCATAGTAATTATATTTTTACCCTAAGTCTGGTGTGACCTGAGAAGTTATATTTGAGGCTGTTGTCTGAGCTTTAAACATAAGTAAACATATTTATCTGAAACATGTAGTTCGTTGTCACATTTAAGACACCAGAATAAATTGAATGAAGACTGGAGCACCTCAGCATCTAGCCAAAATGCGCAAAACATGAATCCTGGGGTTGCTTGGGTTCTCTTGCAGGTTTCTAGAAGCTATGCTAGACATTTGGGATTCCTTCACAGTGTTGTTTCCCCCTTTTTTCCTTACAAATATTAATTATTTTTAAGTCTCTTATCTGATAATTCTAAAATCTGAGTCACCCATGGATCAGTTTCTATTGTCTGAATTTACTCTTGGTTTTCAGTTGTTTGGTTCTGTTTTTTCTCATGCCTGCTAATTTTTGATTGAATGATACACATTGGATAAAAAATTAATATAGATAATGAGGTCTTTATCCAGAAAGGAAGATTTTATTTCCCTTTGGCAGGCAGAGCACAGATTGTCCTTACTTCATAAAGAATGCTATAGTCACTCAGGGGTATTATTTAAAAGGCAGGAATGTTTATCAGAGTCATTACACATTTATGTACCCTGAATTCCAATCAGCTTCAGATGAGTTAACCCTTCCCTTCAGGTTCAAAGTAAGGGCTCATTTCTTACTTCTTCAGTTAAGTGATTGCAACTAAGTGATATAATTGGTGAACCAAATTAAGAAATAGATGTTGGAGTATTACAAGGTAAATATAAGGAATGCATCTAAAGCAAGTTGAGAGGAAAAGATTATCATTAACTCCTTAATGTGCGAGGTTCGAATCGTGGAGAAAGGGGAAGCACAAGGTGAGATCCACATTCACTTTGTTTATCCTCAAGGATGTTTATTAATTCCATGCAGAAACAAATTAGCAGCAATTCCATGCAGAAACAAATTAGCGGCCTGCAGCCTAGAGCAACAATGAAATTTGTTTAGTTATTGTGCCTCCAAGCTGTAGCTTTTTACACATTTGTTCAGTAACTTTCTCTTTACACACATAGCTTAGGAGTCAAACAAATGTCTTGAAATAAAATTATATGCAGGGCTAGCCAGTTGTATTGTGATAAAGGTAGCAGGCTCTCATATGGCCAACTGCATGGTTCAAGTCTGAGACCTGGCAGCTTGGATAACATGCCAGGAATGTGTGCATGTATGCCCAGAATTCCAAAAGGAAGGAGAGATAAAGAAAGGATTGTGGTGTGACCAATCCTCATGAAGGGTATTTCCTTACTTTCCTTCTCTCTCTCTGTCTCTCTCTCTCTCTCTCTGGTGAATGCATGTGCTCTTTGGCAAATGAAAAAAAAAAAAGAAATTATATGCAATACTTTCATATCATTTCTTTACAATTACCCTTGAATTCTGGTTTACATTCTAGTTGCTTTGACAACCCCAGACAATATTCTCTGATTCTCCATCCCAGAAAGACTGACACAGGCCCCAGGTCACAATTATGTATTTGATTTCTGATCTTCATGCCTTGAATTAATAAATATCCTTGAGGGAAAAACAAACAAAGAAAAAAACCAACCAAACAAACAAAACATCAATGTGGAGCTTATCTTGTGATTTTCTTTTCTTCAGGACTTGAACCTCTCGTAACAAGAAGTTAGCAGTAATCTTTCCTTGTCATTTTGCTTAGGTGCATTCCTTGCATTTATCTGCAGTATTTAATCCTATTTTTTTCAATTTGGTTCATCCATTGTTATCATTTAGTTGTCATCACTTAGCTGAAGAAGTGAGACCTTACTCTGTATCTAAGGGAAGGGTTAACTCATCTGAGGCTGATTTCCTGATGACTAAGTCCACTCTGAGGAAGTGGCCTTCTGAAAAAAAAACTCCAAAGATACCTGCTATAGTTGGATGCTTAAGGAAAAATGGTAAAATGTGTATGTTGTTAAGCAGAGTTAAGATGTCCCATACCACTATATCACAGATGTGCAATCACTGGGCTCAGACATTGTCCACCATTCACTCCAGGAGAGAGGTTATTGCTTTATGAGCCATAAATGCTAAGATTGTGGGACAGTACTAGGAGTTGGCAGCAATGTTCTGTCCCAGATTCTACCAATTTTCACTGTGGTTTGAACTCTTCACTTTTGAAAGCTGCAGTGATGGGACCAGTAGATTGTATAATGATTAGATTACTGGACTCCCACATAATCACCCATGGTTAGAGTTCTGGACCTGGTGGCTTAAAACTCACACTAGGCATCATGTGCATGCATGCCCCAAATCCCAAGAGTATAATGGAGGAAAAGGGATTGTGGTGTGGCCATCCTCTCTGGGGGATGATTTCTCACTTTCTGTCTCTGTCTCTCTCTGATCCTCCAGCAAGTGCACATGCCCTATAGAAAAAAAAAAAAAATCTCTCTTTCAAAAAAAAAAAAAAAAAAGCAAAAGAAAAGAAAGAAAGCCACAGTGACAATGCACAATGGGATAATGGGATGCTGGCTAAAGTTTTGACATGTCACACTCAATTGGATAACTCCTATTCATAGCACGAGTTGGCCTGGTGTTTAATCCTGCAATTTTGTACAGCTCCTTAGTCCAAGAGTCCCGGCTTCTACTTTGGTGTCCATCGTCCAGCTGCCTGATTGTGTGCTGCCATCAAATGAAATGGACATTAAGAGGCCAACACATTTGCCACTGCCACATTCCTTTTTTTTTAATTACTTTATTCTATTTATTCTTAAGTTTTGTCATAGGGTATATACACTAGCTAGAGAGGCAACGTAAGTGAGCAAGAGAAAAGCAATATACCCTGGGGGATAGTCACTCCACAATCCCTTCTTCTCTAACCTTCTCTTGGGATTTTGGTCATGCATGTACATGGACACGGTATGTTTTCCAAGCTGCCATGTTTGGGACTTGTGCTGCACAGTTGGCCATGTGGGATCCAGCTACCTTTATTAACCACCACACCAGTGACTGACTTGCCCTTGCTTTAATAACATTGATAAGTCTCTGAATCTGAGTCCGCAGATCTGCAAATTTTTCCAGTAGTCATCTGATAGAGGCTTACTTCCACTCCAAGCTCCCTCGAAACTTATTTTAAAAATTAAAATAAGGATCCAGCAAGTGGTATGATAGACAAGACACTGGACTTCCACATGGCCAACTGTGGTTTAAGTCCCAGACATGGTGGCTTGCTTTCTCTCTCTCTCTCTCTTTCTCCTCTCTGGTGAGTGTTCATACACAATAGCAACTTTAAAAAAAATAATAGAGCCCTGAGGTACAAGATGGTGCATCTCTGCAGGCTGAGTATCCTCTGCAATGCCCAAGGAGACGAAACTCTATTCCTGCACACCCCTGTAGTCAGACCTGCTCACGTCTTCACATTTTTCCAGGAGCAACCTTGACCTGCTCCAGGATAGTGTAGAGTGCAGGGAGGGCAGCACATTCACCTGTCACCAAGCCATTGTTCTGGTTCCAAGGCTGCATCTCTCCCCTGGATTAGTGAGAGAGTTGTCAGTGTTTTGCCCATGGGCCTGCTTCCAGCTGCTTATTTGAATCCTTACTCTGCAATGGACTACTCCCTGGCTGCAACCCCCACTTTCCATAGTCACTTGGACCTTGGACAAGTTGTTACTGACCGTGTTCATGGGGATGCATCCCAGAGAGCTGCCAAGGTAGGCCTTTTGGCTCTCTCCTTAGTTGGGCTTTGTTATTTCAACTATCATGATATGGCACCTGCAACGCCATTGCCATGCCATGTAACCTCTGACCTTTTTGATATAATACCTTAGGAATTGATGGTGTGCCTCTTTGCCTTGCTCTGTCATGTTATTCGGCTCACAATAAGGAGGAAATAACAGATAAGTTCATTGGTGGACAGGCCTCTTCTCCTAATCTCATGGTTATTTTCGTAATTGAATTACTGAGGAAAGATTTAAAAGGTATCCAGAAATTATGAGACTGAGTTTTGTATTCAGGTGAGTTAATGGGGTTGTCTCCAAACTTATCATAAGACTCACAGTATAATTAAGCTCTATTATATAAGACCTTTTGCTATTTAATTTATCAGTCTCTCGAAGAGAATTCAGCTTTATAACTAGCAATACATGATCAAAGTTCTGGGGACAATGGACAAAGGGAAAGGCTATTAAGCCATGAGTAAAGACTACTAGAAATTAGAAAAGTGTTTAATTTCTGAAAACTTCCCATTCTCCTCAATTAATACCAGTTACTGATGGTTGCATATCCTAGGGAAACTTTAAGATGAGGGAATACTAATACCACATGTGAAGAATTTTTCTATCTATGAAGAAAATCTTAGACAGCTTCTGAATATAGAGAAGTTCATTTAGGGAAGAGGTCCAACTTTGAGACATGTCAAAATATTACAAGTTCTCAACCGAGATGTAATGTTTAAATGTATTGCACTTTTCCTAAAATAATCTGCCCACAATTACAAAGTTAGAAGAAATAAATTGTTATTTTCCCACTATGGGAACCTCTAACATTAAAGTATATTCTAGAAAAGAAAGTTTTTCTAAAAATAAAATATTTTATAATAAAGACATAGTCTACTTTTAAAAAATAATAAAATTAAATAAATAATTTTTTTTTAAATTAAATGTCAAAATATTCAAGTACTTCTGACCCTCCCCTTCTCCACATTTTGGAGTGACTCATTTGTAGGTATTTTTTTTCAGAGTTCAACTTTTCAACTTAGGATTTGCACAATCTACCCACCTAATGTAAATTCTGGAAATGATATGTACACAGCCATATACATACATGAAATATCCATAACTTTTGAATTACCACTAAAAATACATAGAGTATCTCCATTTTCATTTGAACTCAGAGTCTTCAAAAGTCTTTGCATCTAAAAATTCCGTAATAATTCTAGGTATGGTGCAAAGAATATGTCTCCCACACACTGCTGGTTTGGAAATTGTTGAACTATTAAGAGTTAGTAACTAGTTACCTGTATAGAATATCTTTTTTGAGCAAATCACTGATATGGATCAAGCAGTTTTCAATTCTGCATGTTATGAACAAAATGTAAATGCTACTATATACCACTTCAGAGTGTTCAATGCAAATAAAGACACCAGAGTTCAATGCAGCCACCCTGGTAACATCATCTGTTTTTATAAAATTTTATTGTGTTCCATAAATTTTTAAGTGAATTTCTGTACTAAATAAATATATCATATTCTAAAGCAATGCAGACCCATAACCTTAACAGAAGAGTATTTGGAAATAGAGGAAAAGTTTTTAAACAGGCAAAAGGAAGTGTGTGTGTGTATCTCTCTCTATATATATATATATAGAGAGAGATAGATAGATAGATATCCAGAATATACAAGAACCCCATTTATCTTCCATCTCAGAAACACATTATAGGGAACCAGCAGTTAGCATAATGGCTATGTCGTTGGACTCCCACGTAGTTGACCGCGGTTTGCGTCCTGGACCTGGTGGCTTAAAACTCACGCCAGGTGCGTGTGCGTGCGTGCCCAAGATCCTGAGAGGAGAATGGAGGAGAAGGGATTGCGGTGTGGCCATCCCCCCTGGGGGGTGATTTCTCGCTTTCTGTCTCTATGTCTATGTCTCTCTCTGTCTGTCTGGTGAGCGCACGCGCCCTATAGCGAAAACCTCTCAAAAAAAAAAAAAAAAAAAGGAAGCACATTATATAAATGACCAAAACAAAGAATGGTTTAATTATTTATCCAAATATATTGAAGAGATAATAAGAGGGATCCAATTCTTATCCCACAGTAATATCTCTTTAAATTATCATGTTTACTATAATCTCTGCATGATAGCTCAGTGGTTTGTTGGGACTTCTATTCTCTAAACCACCCTCTCTAAATGCTTGCTTTACAACTTTGTCCAAATCCATTGTTAACTTGTTCTATCTCTTAATTCTCCCTTTGTTGCATTATATCTCTTTCCTCCAAGTTATCCAAATGGAATTCTCCCAAGTTGGGATCAACTCTTAGGCTATAGATATGTGCCTGTCCATGGGCTGTTGACCTGGCTGCAGACCAGTGGTGCTCATGCAGTAGGAGGTAAAGGACAGGAGAATGAGCAAACCTTTATCTGTGTTTTCAATCAGTCTCCATTGATCTCAATGATACCTGGGCTCTATTACCTGTTGGATCAGTGTTCATATTGGATTTCATGGGAGTGCAAACCTTATTTGTGATTGTGTCACTGTATATTGCAATGTGGCAGTGGTGTAAATGGGGTGCATGGTGGATGTGTTGTACTTGGAAAAACCCTTCCCCCCAGAGGGATTATCTTATACAAAGCTGGTCCTTGGACCAAGAAGGTTGGGGACCACTGCTCTAAGGCTCAGACCTAAGGTTTAGAAAGACAAGGTGTGGAAAAAGGAGAATGGAGTTAGACAGGTAGACAAAGATACGATTATTTCCCTTTTAAATGGAGACTGTGAAAAAAAAAAAAAAAAGAACATACTGACATGATATCTTATCCCATTATGAATTTTTTTTAAGAGAGAGATTTTTTTCCTATAGGACATGTGCACTTGCCAGAGAGACAGAGATAGACAGATAAATAGAAACCAAGAAATTACCTCCCGGGGGGATGGCCACACCACAATCTCTTCTCCTCCATTCTCTCCTCTGGATCATGAGCACGCACTCACATGTGCCCAGTGTGAATTTTAAGCCGCTGGGTCTGGGACTCAAACTGCAGTCAACTCAGTCAACTACGTGGGACTAGTAACATAACTATCACACCATTTGCTGGTCCCTCCATTATGAAATTTGAAACCAAAGTAAAATCTAGTAACATTCAAATTTACTTACAAATATGGGGCTTTTCCCTGTTTTGTCCTTTTCTTTTCCACCTTTGCCTGCATCCCACTTTTCTGCATTTATGTCAGTTTCACTCCATTCTGGCCAGATTGGGAATTTCCCCTTCTTCTGCTCAATAGAACCAGATTGTACACCACTGCTGAAGGGGTACAGACTAACGAGAGAAGGAGAGGGTGAGTTAGTTCTACTCAAAATTTCTGAAGTAAAATATTGGATTAAATGCATAACATAAATTTAATTATCCTGACAGTAGAGTTATTTTAAGTATTATACGTTCCTTACTACCTTCCTGTGGCTGAACAGCTTCCACATATTAGTGTTCTAAAAACTGAAAGGACCCCCACAAGATTATCCATAAGCAAATTTTGTGCATCATTGCCTACTTACAAATGCAGAAAGTTCAAGAGTAGAAATAAGCAGCATTATCATGGACACATAAAATGCTATGAAGAAAAATATGTATGAACAATTTACACCTAATGAAAAAAGTTTACGTGTATAATAGTAATAATTTTTGCAGTATCAGTACAATTTTGATTTTTCCCAGTGAAAAGGTACTATGTAATCATTATTTTAAAAGAAAACTATAAAATACAATCAGACAAATAAAAAAACATGTATCCCACTTGAGAAATGACATTGTCAACAACTATGCTCTCAGACCAATGTAATTTGTCTTCAATCATTAAATCACTCACAATATTCTCTGTAACAGATGCCCTTTTCCCACTTAATAGTTAGTATTTCTCAGGTGCGTAAATGTTTATCTAAATAGTAATTTGATGTCTGCATAATATCCTATTGTATGAAGATAGCATGTTTCATTTAACTAACCTATATTACAGGTTTCCTTCTTAATTTTTTCTTTAGTATAAACAAGACTATGGGGAATAAAATAATTAGTCTTTAATTTACATTTCTATAATTTCTAATTACAATTTAAAATGTGTCTATATGTAGGAACAAATAGATAAGATGCTGGTTTATCCTGTTTCCACATCCTTTGAAGTTAGGCTGGTATTGTGTCCTAGTGGCTTGGACAATAAAAATATGGGAAGATTCTTTTATCAGCCACCTTCAGGCCAATAAAATAGCCTTTGCAATACTTTTTCTCTTACTGCTTGACGTATGGCTGAATTCTATGAGAACTCCTTAGAAAACATAAAACTACAAGATGGAAAGAGCATGAAATTTTATTCAGCACATGCAAAGTTACTCACCACTGTATAGTTTATGAGACTCTGGTATAAATGAGAAACATCCTTTGCTGTGACAAGTTACTGAGATTTGAAAGTCATTTGATATTATAGTAGCACGGGGATTGCTAGCATTGGCTAATATAATGTGGATTTCGTTTTTATTTTTAATCATTATAAGGATATATATGGCATAAAACTTACAGATTATTTCTCTATTATCTTAAATTTCTAATATTTGATTATCTTATTTGTGGTGACATCTGCCTATCTTTTGAAAGTTCTTTTATTATGAGCTTATCAGGGTTTTCTTCACCAATCCTCTTCTCTCTACACAATACTGTTTTGAGATAACATTCTTTCAATACAATATTGAGTTTTCTTCTGTCAGAAACCCCAAATGAATACGCCTTGCAGGAACTCACAAGTACTATTAATGCAAAAAGAGATCTCAAACCCATGCAAGTCTCAAAGAGTTTCCATTTCTCAAGGAAGAATTTATTTTCAGCCTGTCATCAGGCACAGAAAAGCTACATTTTTTACAATTTCCCTGTGCTTTGGTATATTTTCTAATTCACCTTTTCAAAGAGATTTTTAAGAAATCTAAACTCTGAAAGCCATTTCTCTTTGAGGTTCGAGCATTCTCTTTAATCATTTTTGACTCAAGACTGTGTCCTATGTATGTTCAAACCAAAGATCCCAGTTTCAAATAAATGATGACTTCTCTGAAAGCCATGACACTCCAATATTCAGTTTCCTCCTCGTTTCTAGGTCCAGAAGATTTTTAGTCTTTACGTAGAATTTTCTGGATATCATTATTTTTTTTAAAAAAAATCTCAGTCTAGTCTCTTGCTTGAAAAGTCAGGAAACATATACATCGTTAAGGAGTATTCCTAATTATCATGCAAGGATATATATATATATATAATATATGGCAAGAATGGCTAGAATAGTTTTCAGGGGAAAATGGAACTTTCTCAATATTAACAGAAAAATGAAGATATAGAAAGTACACTTATATCTCTGTTTCACTGAGTATTGGTACAAGTCTACAGATCAAAAATAACCAGTGATTTTGCATCCCACAAAACCATGATAAAATTATCCTACCTAGAAGTTCAAAATCTTAAAGTCTATTTCTTAAAAAGGAGATCTAATTTATTGAAACATAAATGCTCTATTAAGATTGTTTTGCTTCCTTATTCTGTGAAGGATAAATAAAGGTCTAGCTCCCTCCCTTAAGCTCTTAAGCTTTGTCACTAATTGGCCTACTTTCCTTGTAACGCATCAAATTTATTTTCATCTATATTGAAGATTTCAAAAGACTCTCATTAGGAGAGGCTTACACCAGCCTGATGGATCAACAGAAGTGCTATACACACAATACAAACAAAGCTCAAATATGGCCCGTTGTAGACTCAAAATGATTATGTAAAACGTTGCTTTTGACACTCAGGACAATATGTATTTGAAATTCACTGGCCAAATGTACTTCTGGCTCAAACATAGTTGAGATTCTTTAAGTATTCAAAGCACTTTATTTCTGGTCCCATCAATTTTGAAAGAAGATCCTTTTTTTGATTTTCTAATTTTTAATTTTTTTTTGCTATAGGGCATATGCAGTCCCCAGAGACAGACAGAGAACACAGAATGAGAGAGGGCAAGTGAGAAAGCACCCCCAGGGTTGATGGCTATACAGTAATCCCTTCTTCTCCATCCTCCTCTTGGGATTTTTGGCTCATACGCACACACGTGCTTCATGTGTTTTGCAAGTCGACAGGTCCAGACTCCAATGTGCAGCTGGCTGTGTGGAATCCAGATGCTTTAACCTCCATTATATCTACTGGCTCATCATGATCATTTTTTTTTTTTTGAGAGGTTTCTGCTATAGGGTACGTGCGCTCGCCAGACAGACAGAGAGAGACAGAGAGACAGAAAGCGAGAAATCACCCCCCAGGGGGGATATGGCCATGCTGCAATCCCTTCTCCTCTCGGGATCCTGGGCACGCATGCACACATGCCCAGCATGAGTTTTAAACCACCGGGTCCGGGACGTGAACCGTGGTTGACTACGTGGGAGTCCAGAGACATAGCCGTTACACTAACTACTGGTCCCCATCATGATCATTTTAAACAGAAAAGTAACCCAGAAAGATTTAGGAACTGGTGATACTGGGAAATAATGTTACCGAAACATAGAAAATTCCAACCTGCACCATGGAGAGTTATGCATAGAGTTCCTTATTCACATAGCACTAAACCAAGTACAAGTAAATAATTCAATTCATTAATATTATAAGTTGTATAAACAATTTTAAAGATAAATCAATTTCAAAACAAACCAGTGTTTGGAAGAAGAAAAATGTCAGAGAGCCAGGCAAAAGACTTTTTTCTAGAGTAGAAATATAAAACACAAAAGTTCCCCTGAAGAAAAGAGAGCAAACGTAAAAGAAGTAAGTGATCATGAATGAAAACCAGCAAAACATATTTGTGAAGGAAAATGACCTTAGCAGATGGCCAAAAGGAGTTTCCTGGTGCCAATTTTCTGACCCCCATAAAAAAGGGTCCATAACTAATAATAACAACTATATTTTCACTGAAGTCACTGAATAAGTGTACTAGAGAGGAAAGTGCAAGATCTCTGGATCCCTAGGGAGTACAAAAACTCAGAATAATACCAAAGATGGTCCATCAAGAAACCCTGCCTTTGCCATGCTATCTACTCAACCAAGATCAACTAGGAGCTAAGATGGACTTTTTCTTATGGGAAAAAGGTAAGTCAGAGATCTTGTGGTCCCCATTGCCACCAGAGATGACTATAATCCTTGCTGCAGGAGCGTCTTGAAGCCCTTACAGCTCAGAACAGTTTGGAGAGTTGCCTGGAGTTCATGCAGCAGCATGGTCAGTGAAGAAGCCCATTTAGTGCACTCCCCATTCTCCCATAACCAAGATGGTATAATGCCATCTTGAGACCAGACACTAGAGTGCATACTATCCTGAGGGCCAATAGTCACACAAAGCTTCACCATCATTCCACTACACACAGATAAGTGATCACAGTCCCTAAACTCCAGCTGCTTGGAGCCAATGCCTAGCAGAATGTCCCAGACCTTGGTATGCCAATCTCCGTGACACTCAACTCACCGGGGGTAGGCAGGTCTGCACCACAAGGAAATTGACATAGTTAAAGGACCCACTGCTACTGTGCATGCCCATCTGACATCTAGATTGGCAGCACCTTCACTTACTAATTAGATATCCTGAAAGTCGTCCTGGTGGTGGCTCCACCGTCCCGATAGCCTGACTCACAGCTGGCCGGCCTACATTGGACAGAGAGCCAATTCAGTGCTCCTGTCCACAATGCTGCACATTGTTATCACTTTGGTTGTTTGTTTGCTTGTTTTCTTTAGAGAGAGATTTTTTCTATAGGGTGTGTGTACTTGGCAGAGACACAGAGAGACAGAAAGCAAGAAATCACCCCCTAGGAGGAATGGCCATACTACAATTCCTTCTCCATCCTCCTCTTGGGATCTTGGGCACACATGCACACATGCACAGCAAGAGTTTTAATTTGCTGAGTCTGTGACTCAAACTATGGTCAACTATGTCTCCAGCAAGCACACATACTCTATAGCAAAAAATCTCTCAAAAAATAACAAAAGAAAGAAAGAATGAATGAATGAAATTTGCAAAATGCCTGAAAAGGAATTTGAAACATTGATCTTAGGGAAACTCAGTGATATACAAGAGAACATAGACAAATGATTCAGTGAAATCAGAAAAATAACTCATGATCTGAATGAAAAATTTAATGAAGTAACAGACATCATAAATGCCAAAAGAGAAATCATGATGCTACAGAAGTAAATGAGTGTAATTAAAAAATGCAATTGAAAGCATCAATAACTGACTAGATCAATCAGAGGAAAAATGTCTAAACTTGAAGACAGGTCTTTTG